GTCAGAATCCTGAATTTCAGTGATGTGACCCTCACAACCGTCGTCCAGCTCACCAGGTGCCAGGGCAGGGGAGGAGCTTTTTGCAGGAGGCGGTGGGCTTGTGCCTCAGGGATCTCTTGACACTGTAAGTGCTTGGATGAGACTTAAACTGTGACTGTTGCCTGGCTGGTGTGGCTCAATGGTTGGGCGTCGTCCTATGAACAGGAGGTCACGGTTCGATTCCCGGTCAGGGCACATGCCTGGAGTTGGGGGCTCAATTCCAGTAGGGGGCATGCAGGAGGCAGCCGATCAATGATTCTCTCTCATAAATGTTTCTATTTCTCTCAATTCAATAAAAACATATTTAAAAAACAAACAAACCACACCAAACCCCCTTGGTCCCCTGATTTGAAGGAGCAGGAGTACCAGGACTTCACACCAGCTGCCCAGCACGATGTCCAATTGCCTCAGACCAGTGACCACTGTGGGTCTCCCCACCTTCCCTTTCGGAGTGGGAGTTCTTTTTTTTATTTTTTAAAATATATATTCATTGATTTTTTACAGAGAGCAAGGGAGAGGGATAGAGAGTTAGAAACATCAATGAGAGAGAAAGATCGATCAGCTGCCTCCTGCACACTCCCTACTGGGGATGTGCCCGCAAGCATGGTACATGCCCTTGACCAGAATCGAACCTGGGACCCTTCAGTCCGCAGGCCGACGCTCTATCCACTGAGCCAAACCAGTCAGGGCGAGTGGGAGTTCTTACTGTCCTTGTCCCGTGAGAAGGGGTAACGTTAACCTGGGTGTGGGTTTTGGGGGAGTTGCTGTTGCTTTTTTAAAGTATATTTTTATTGATTTCAGAGAGGAAGGGAGAGGGAGAGAGAGAGAGAAACATCAATGATGAGAGAGAATCATTGATTGGCTGCCTCCTGCATGCCCCCTACTGGGGATGGAGCCTGCAACACAGTCATGTGCCCTTGACTGGAATCGAACCTGGGGCCCTTCAGTCCGCAGGCCGACGCTCTATCCACTGAGCCAAACCAGCTAGGGCTGCTGTAGTTTTTAGTTTCTCTGTCACTGAGCGATGAGGCTGGCTGTTGAGAAGGGCACATCCCTGGGAGGCCTAAACTGGGAGCTGTGCAGGGACTGAGGGGCTGAGGGGCTCTATGTCGGAAGAGAGGAAAAGAGGTAATGGGTGTCCCGGGTTTCAGACTGTGATGATTCACAACGCTGTTCCTTCGTCTCCTTGGCGACACAGCTGCCTCCCTGACCACACACACAGGCCACCTTGCGCTCAGGTGTGGCTGGGTGAGTGGTCTCTGGGCAGCAGAATGAAGTCTAAAGGCACGTTCACCTCCTAATCCACAAATGCCTCCCATGTAGTCCTCCAATCTCTCTCTCCTTGTGTTTTCTGTCTTTTTAAATGTATTTTTATTGATTTCAGAGAGGAAGGGAGAGGGAGAGAGAGAGAGAGAAACATCAATGATGAGAGAGAATCCTTGCTCGGCTGCCTCCTGCATGCCCCCGATTGGGATGGAGCCCGCAACCCGGGCATGTGCCCTGACCGGGAATCGAACCATGACCTCCTGGTCATAGGTCGATGCTCAACCACTGAGCCACACCAGTGGGGCCCTGCCCTACCTTTTAAGTGTTTTTCTCTCTCTTGGATTGGTATTCCTGTTCTCATTAGGAGTTTGTGGGAATGTGTGTGCTTACAGCTTTCACAGACGGATATGCAAAGGGAAGAAACTTTTTCTTTAAGAGCGAAGTCAACAGAATACTTACAACTTTCAAGCTGCAGTTGGCTATTTCAGTGCAGATAGCTTTAAGAGACGAAATAAAGTTAAATGTCAGGGGATCCGTTTCCTTCCAGAAGCTGATCAGGAGTCGAACTTTAACGCTTCGCAAAACTAACGCTTCTCTTATTTTCCCGTCCAAGTCTGGCCAGTACGTCCTGTGGAAATAATATCGATGTGGATGAAAATCAAGGAAGCAAGTTAGTTTTGGGAAATAGATTTACTAGGCTTCCAAGAACACGGATGTTAATGTGACCATTACTTTGTTCTGTGATATATGTGTGACTTTGTAGGATGCGTTGAAAAATAAAATGCAAGCCTCCTGGGTTAGGGCACCGAGAGAGGATGCTTTATGGGGACCTGCCCCTGCCTACAACCAGGTCTCCCAGCACCAGGCCTCAGGCTGTGAGGGCAGAGGGCATGGACCCCCGGACACATGCCACCCTCACTGCACCTCCAACTCTACCTATGCTCCAAGAGTCAACTTTTTTTATTTTTAATATATTTTTATTTTTATTTATTTTTAAAATATATTTTTATTGATTTTTCACAGAGAGGAAGGGAATGGGATAGAGTTAGAAACATCGATCAGCTGCCTCCTGCACACCCCTTACTGGGGGTATGCCTGCAACCAAGGTACATGCCCTTGACCGGAATCGAACCTGGGACCCTTCAGTCCGCAGGCCGACGCTCTATCCATTGAGCCAAACCGGTTAGGGCAGTGGCTGGCAAACTGCGGCTCTCGAGCCACATATAGCTCTTTGGCCCCTTGAGTGTGGCTCTTCCACAAAATACCACGTGCGATTGAAACTTTGTGGCCCATGCGCAGAAGTCGGTATTTTGTGGAAGAGCCACACTCAAGGGGCCAAAGAGCCGCATGTGGCTTGCGAGCCACAGTTTGCCGACCACGGGGTTAGGGCAATATATTTTTATTGATTTCAGAGAAGAAGGGAGAGGGAGAGAGAGAAACATCAGTGATGAGGGAGAATCATTGCTTGGCTGCCTCCTGCACGCCTCCTACTAGGGATGGAGCCTGTAACCCAGGCATGTGCCCCAGACCAGGAATCGAACCGTGACATGACCTTCTGGTTCACAGGTTGATGATCAACCACTGAGCCACGCTGGCCGGCCGTGCTCGCCCAGCTGATCTGAATGATGAGTGACCTAACATGACCTGAGAGCATCCCAGTGTGCAGGCCGGCTTCCCCAGTGGTCCTCAGCTCGGTGCCTGGTCCCGGAGACCAGGTTCTCAGTCGAGGTCATGCACTCACTGACCTTTTGGTGCTTGTGCTGGAGATGGGCAGGTAGTCCATGACGGCGATGTACACGTACTGCTTGGCGTCGTCTATCACGCTGTAGATGGCGTCGATGTCAAAGCTTCTGTTTTTAGGGCAAAAGAGTTTGGGGGAATTCTGTGAAGACACAAAAACCAAACTTTTAGAGCATTAAGTTTTTTTTTAAAAAGAAATTTTTATTGATTTCAGAGAGGAAGGGAAAGGGAGACGACAGAAACATCGATGATGAGAGAGAATCATTGATTGGCTACCTCCTGCACGTCCCCTACTGGGGATCAAGCCCACAATCCAGGAATGTGCCCTCGGCTGGAATCGAACCTGGGACCCTTCAGTCTGCAGGCTGATGTTGTGTCCACTGAGCCAAACCAGCTAGGGCTAGAGCATCAACTTTTGTCAACTGGGGATTTATCTTTTTTTTTGCAAACCTACTTTCCAGTTCTTTAGGAGATAAGACAAATATATTTTCCATCCTATCAAAGTTGAGCCCTGTAGACATCAAAGTGTGGCGAGATTGGTCTCAAGTCTGTCCTTTAAGTCTGTTTTGGGAGGGAACTTAAAAATATATGTATTTTTATTGATTTCAGAGAGGAAGGGAGTGGGAGAAAAAGAAAACCATTGACTGCCTGTTTCCTGCACATCCCACACTGGGGATCGAGCCCATAACCCAGGCATGTGCCCTGACCGGGAATCTAACCGTGACCTCCTGGTTCATAGGTTGGTGCTCAACCACTGAGCCACGCTGGCCGGGCTGGGAGGGAATTCTTGCTTTCAATACACATGAATGCTCCAGCTCTAAACTTATGTGACCCTGGTGTACCTCCCTGTCACACATAGCTGTTCAATTCCTCAGGCTTTGCCATGTAACACCACCTACCGATAACAAGCAATTTATCCCAGAAGCCATTTCATCTGAACGGAGACATGGCTATAGACACGTTTAAGACCCTCTAAAAAGCTGGGTTTCCCCCTCTAATCGTTCATCCATCAGGAAGAGGAGTACTGGTTGTTGAGAAAGGGTCATCAATAATTCTAGTGGAGACACAGAGAGAGTTATTAAGATGCCCAAGTTCATCAGGAGAGACAGGGGAAAAAAGATATTCTAAGAGACTTAAGCAAAATGAGAGAGAGGCAAGTTATACTAGAGGTATTTTTCTCTCGTTGTTCAAAAGTGCTTTCCATCTTAAAAGTGTATGGTGTTTTGCCCTGGCCAGGTGGCTCGGTGGTTTGGAGTGTCGTTCTATACACCAAAAGGCTGCAGGTTCGATTCCTGGTCAGGGCACATACCCAGGTTGTGGGTTCAATCCTCAGTTGGGACAATATATGGTAGGCAACCAATCAATGTTTCCTCTCTCTTTTTCTCTAAAATAATCAATTAAAAACATTCTCTCTCTCTCCCCCCTTCCCTACTTCTCTCTCTCAATTCAACAAAAACGTATTTTTTAAAAAACAGGCTTCCTAGCTGATTCCTAAGTACTTTAGAGTTTGAGGACAGGCTGAAGGCCCAGATACTTACATTGCCCGTCGCCAGTAACACTGTGGGGACAGTGGGATGGCGAGGGGTGGGGGGTGGCAGGGGAGTTGGGTGAAGGTGTGTGGGGTGGTGGCCTTGCCCTCCAGCCTCGATCAAGTACAACAGCTTTGCGTTTGTCTGTTTCACACACTGGGGCTTTCTGAGATTTGTTTCATCAGAGGGTTCTATTGCTACAAACAAGTCTGAACATCACTGATGCAGGGCATCGAAGACAGGCTCTGGTATAGAAGACCTGGGTGCTGGTGGCTCTCCTGGCACTTGTGTTACAGCAGATAAGCTTCAATATCCTCATTTATTAAAAAATATATTTTTTTTATTAATTTCAGAGAGGAAGGGAGAGGGAGAAAGAAATAGAAACATCAATGATGAGAGAGAATCATTGGTCGGCTGCCTCCCGCATACCCCCCTACTGGATCGAGCCCGCAACCTGGGCTTGTGCCCTGACCGGGAATCAAGCCCTGACCTCCTGGTTCATAGGCTGATGCTCAACCACTGAGCCACGCTGGCCGGGCCAATATAACCTCATTTGTAACACAGTCACAATCCTAGGTCTACCTTAAGGGATGATTTAAGGGTCCAATCAGATAACACAAAGTATCTGGAATGAGAAATGATTATTAGCATTTATCCTTGTCATCCTCATTAGGGACAGCATATGACAGAACATAAGAGTGGACGGATTTGAACTCTTCAAGGACTGGAATGGAAACCGACTTGTTGAATTCATTGCTGCCCAACATAAGGCCACCCTCGAGCATCCCAACTTGACAAAGGGCCGGGGGGTTGGGGGGCGGGAAGGCCTGGATGAGGAGAAAGACCCAACAACTCACCGACACAAAGGCTTGAGATTTGGTTTCGTTCAACTGAAGCTGCAATTTCTTCTCATTGTCATAGACTCCATAGAGCCTCTTAGACCAGGTCTGGGGCACTCTGCTCTTGAATTTCAATGAACTATATAAAGCGAAGATCCTTTGCAAATCCAGGACCAGGCAGCTGCAGTTGTAGAAGATGACACCAAGTTCTTTCATCTGAGGAAAAAAACAACAACCAAGAAGCATCAAGGCCATGTGCGTCTGACAGTGTTCGTTTCAGAGAAAGAACAATGCACCAGAATGAAGCAGTAGAGAGCTTTTTTTCTTGCACTTTTATACAGGAGTCTGTAGATATAGGCACGATGGTCTATGGAAGTGAAGTGTCATAAACACACTTAAAATTTCAGGAGGACTTTAGATTCCTTTTGCATTTGGGCTCTTACAGATAATTTTCCCACACTCACTACGCTTTTCACATGGTCTCCTCAGACTTGTTCCCTTTACACTAATTTTTGGTATGAATCCTGAAATTATGCAGCAATATAAAGGTTGACTTTTAAAAACTATATATTTTTATTGATTTCAGAGAGGAAGGGAGAGGGAGGGAGAGATAGAAACTTCCATGATGAGAATCATTCATCAACTGCCTCCTGCACGCCCCCTACTGGGGGCATGTGCTTTGACAGGGAATCAAACTGTGACTTCCTGGTTCATGGGATGATGTTCAACCACTGAGCCACGCGGCTGGGTGGTTATGGCAGCTTCCTATAACTTCTGCTGAAGTCTCAAATCTGGACATGCAAAGCCTTCATGACAAGCGTCCACGTGAAGGGAGGCCCCGTGGAAGGAACAGTGACCTTCCTGGGACCTCCTTGCCATTGCTCAGCCTGCGGAACGCAGTGTCCAGACCTTCGAGGCCAGCTGCTCCCACTGGGGAGCCCACTTAGGAGTAAAAAATGGAGGCACCTGGCCATTGGAATTACAGGAGATTTATCACTTCAAATGTTTTTTTTTTTTTCCAATTTGATGTTTAAATTACCAACTAGATACCAGCTTTGAGAATTATAGTGCCTCTGAGTAGCTTTCTCTCAACCTGAGAATGACTGAGGCCCGTTTCTAATTATTCGTATTTGGTTCAGGCTGGTGTTGACTAAAGATGGAGAAAAAGAAGCTGGTTTTTGTTTGGCAGGTTTTTCAGCCACAGCAAAAGAATTTAGGGCAGGTGTGTGAGGAAGTCTTCTTAAAATGCTGATAGTGGGAAAAATAACATGGATTTGGGAATTTTTAAGGGTTTCCACGTCTAGACTTTCAAAGAAACAAAAAGCTACATTGATTGGCGGATAGATTAGCCAAGTCCCTCTTTAATGTTTTTTTAAATTGATTTTTAGAGCGAGAGGAAGGGAGAGGGAGAGATAGAAACATCAATGAGAGAGAAATATCGAAACATCAATCGGCTGTTTTCTGACCGGGAATTGAACCAGTGGCCTCTTGGTCCATGGATCAAGTCTCAACCATTGAGCCACATTGGCTGGACATGCCAAATCACTCTTAACAGTGATTAGCCCCTTCCCCTGGTGTGTCACATGCCAGCCACAAGCCAGCCACACGCCAGCCACACACCCACTGAGAATCCTGATGGACTGCCCTGACTTCAATCGCACAGTTGAGAGTTGATTGACTGGTCCAACTGTTTGAATAAAATAATCTTGAAAAAGCTGGAAATTTACCAGCCAATGATTCATTGGTAGAGAATTATTCTTAGGAAAATACTGATTGTCTTTTTGACAAAACGGGTGTAGTGCTAGCGATCGGCCCATGGAACTGACTGAGGCTTAGGACTTCAAACTCCTGGAGTACCCCGCCAAGAAGCTGTTCTAAGGGTAATGACTTTAGCCCGGCTGGCGTGCCTCAGTGGTTGGGCGTTGACCTATGAGCCAGGAGGTCATGGTTTGATTCCCAGTCAGGGCAACATGCCCGGGTTGTAGGCTGGATCCCCAGTGTGGGGCATGCAGGAGGCAGCTGATCAATGACTCTCCCGTCATTGATGTTCCTATCTCTCCCTCTCCCTTCCTCTCTGAAATGAGAGGGTATATATATATATATATATATATATATATATATACACACACACACACACACACACACACACACACACATATATATGTAATGACTTTATTTAAAACTCAAATAAATTAAAAGGGTAATGACTTTATTTAAAACTCAAGTTATATCAATGGTTCCACTCTGTCTGTCCCTTGCCCTTGGACATGATGGGAGACACAGTCGAGGAGATGCCGCCATCCCCCTGCGTAGGGAGAAAGAACCACAGCAGCGGCTCTAATTCGTTGTATCTGTAGCACTTACTGTGCACCAGGTACTGTTCTAAATGCTCTACAACCTGCATCCATTTAAACCTCGCAACGACCCATTTCACAGGGAAGGAAACTGAGGTACAAAGAGAGATCAAGGGGCTTTCCCAAATGCACAGCCAGAGAGCAGGGAAGCTGGGATTACGACAGACCAGTTTAATATTTCAATTCCAGGAAGAATTATTCACAACGTGGAGTACCCATAAGCCACAGCGCCCTGTGAGCGAGGGCCAAGTCCTGCTGTGTGTCCTTTCTCTGCCTCCCTGGAATTTCTATTTATAATAGTGGCCTGGGTTTCCAAGCACAACGATAGCGGAGGCATCAGCAGCGTTCTCTCAATAAGTGATGAATACCAATTAGCCCAATCACAGCTCAATTGATCATTTACAAATGTTCGGTTTGCTGTTTCCAGGATTTTATAAAAACGTGAACAAGCGTGTCTTTAATGTTCTTGACGGAGACAAAAGGACCTGCAACTGTGAGCAACTAAACGTGCATCCAGTTAGTCGCTGATTTATATTCCGAGTTGCTACAGGGAATTTAATCACCAGGAGCTCTAATGTGATTTCGCTTCTGCCCTCAAGGTGAGACTTCTGTTCCTGGGAATAGAAGTAAAGAATTGAGTCTCGGCTCAAAGGCTGCCCACAGCTCAGAAAGGTTCTCCCTGGCCCTGCCCTCCCACAGTGGGGGGTCCAGACCCGGTAGCTTCTTGATGTCTGAGTTCCTTTGGGAAGGATGCTGGGCAGAGGGAAAGCGACTAATTGAAGAGAGAGGAGAATGTGAGGACCCTGGAGAAGGGCTAGTTCAGCCTCATTTCCAAAGGAAGGAAACGGAGGACCCCAAGGGGGAAGTGACGGGCAAGGTCACAGAATAAGGCCCTTGATTCCGGGGCCTGGTCTGTTCGCCCAATCCAGCGGAGCCTTACTGATGAGATGAATCCACCCAGGGATTCATCCGTAGGATGGATGAGGGGTGTTGTTTTTCTCCTTCCTTCACGTGCCACTTAACTCGATGGGGACACGTCCTGAGAAATGCTTTGTGAGGCGGTTTTCTTGTTTAGTGAACATCATAGAGTGCGTAGCCTAGGAGGTCCAGCCTACAGCACACCTAGGCTGTAGGTACAGCCCATTGCTCCGGCTACAAGCCTGCACAGCACGTGACTGTACAGAACAGCATGAGACTAAACCATGTGTTTGCAGCGATGCCCGTGTAAATGAGCCCAACATGCTGCCAGTCATACAAAAGTATAGCACACACAGCTATGTGCGGTACTTAATACTGGTAATGATAATAAAGGACTGTTTCTGGCTTATGTATTTACTATATTAGACTTTTTTAAATCATTATTTTAGAGTATGGTCTTTCTACTTATAGAAAAAGGTTTGCTCTAAAGCAGCAGCCTCATACATCTTGTTTACCACATCTCTCTTTTAAGAAAAATTTAAAAATTGATTTCAGAGAGGAAGGGAGAGGGAGAGAGAGAAACATCAATGATGAGAGAGAATCATGGATTAGCTGCTTCCTGCACGCCCCACACTGGGGATTGAGCCTGCAACCCAGGCATGTGACCTCCTGGTTTATAGGTCGACGTTCAACCACTGAGCCACGCTGGCCGGGCTACCATATCTCTTGATCATATCATGTCCCCTGGTGCATTTAGACATACTCTATTTACAGCTTATAAAAGTGTATGTACTTATAGACAATGATTGGTGGGAATAGAAAAAGGGAAATAGTTTTAAAGTAGTTAGATTTGGGGTGTACTTTTCTCTTTTGCACTTTCCTATGTTGTATAATGAATGTAATTTTGAGGGGAAGACATTACACATATTTAAGATGCCCTTCTTTGATTTTTTAAATTGATTTTAGACAGAGAGGAAGGGAGAGGGATTGAGAGATAGAAACATTGATGAGAGAGAAACATTGATTGGCTGCCTCCTGCACACCCCACACTGGGGATCCAGCTTCTAACCTGGGCATGTGCCTTGACCAGGAATTGAACCATGACCTCCTGGTTCAATGGGTCAATGCTCAACCACTGAAGCGGCCGGGCTCAAAGACTTTTCTTGCCTACCAGGTAGGCAAGAAATAATTATTCAGCATAAATTTAATAAAATATAGAAAATGAATTCAGTCACGAAGATAAGGGCGACAGTAATTCAACTAACCAGTTGGGATTGGAAGTTGAACTCTCCTCTGAATCTTACCCCACATGGAATCTCCAATTAAAATCCCCAGAGACTGACATCACCAACGAGAGACGAGGAAACAGAAGCAGGAGCCTTTGTTTCCTATTCAACAGGAGGGGGCTGTCTATCTCCTCTGAATAACCTGGACGCTGTGGCCGAGTGCTGTCCCTGCCAAAGCGCTTTTCATTGTGATCCTCCATCACCCCTTTCCCCTGGCACCGATGCATTCGTGTCAAAGCTGTTACTCAATGACTGCAACCATTACCTGGGAAGCAGCGCAATATGATTATTGTCACCTTGTAACCGAGGAAGCTAAATGTGGAGAAAACTGTCTAGCCCCAAACTCCCCGGAATCCAGCAGGTGTCTATTTCTGGGGCGTAGGCACTTCTTTTTCTCAGGCCTACAGGCAGCTTTCATGTCTTAGAAAACTGCCCAGGGGTGAGACCCCAGCCATGAATGACACGGGATGTCCATTTGAATATTTCCAATCAGCACTGCGTTCTAGCTTCTCTTTTGGGGTCAAGGTTGCGGCACTAAGAAGAGACAGGGAGCTCCACTCTGGCTCACTTAACATAATAAACCTGTCAAATAGGTTCTGCTACATTAGAAAGAATAAGCAGCTGCCTCTTGCATGCCCTCTACTGGGGATGTGCCCGC